TGATCGGTTTTCGCGTGTGTGACTTAAGCGAACCGATAAGGTGTCACTCAAGTCTTCCTGTTTGCTTGATCATTGAAACGTGATGTTCACGAAAGTCGCCTCGAGTCCCGTAGTTTTTCGTTAATTGTCCTCCAAAGTTGTCTCAAGTTAGAGCCTTAAAAAGTGTCACGACAGGCCTTCGCTCGAGTGAAATTTGATTTCCGTAAAACTCTGAAAAATAAAGAGATCCGATCAAACGGATTGTGGTTTTAGTATAGGTACATGAATTTCTTTTAACACACAAGAAATGAGCTAAATCTGTGTCTCAAGCAAAATCGACCGGACCGCTCTTACAGAGACACTCTCTTATAATAATATGATATTCTCCTTTTGAGGTAAGTGCCGTAGTTTCATATCATAAGAATTAGTTAGATTTTCTATTGATGGCTGTGTATTTACCCAAATAATTTCATATAGAGGATACTACACGGTGGCTCAAAGATATGAATTTTATGTTCGAGTGGCAAAAACGATATCTCACGAGGCCGCTGCACTCACTCGTGAGATATTATTACATGTAATGTTCTTTTTATTATACAGACAAAAACTATGAAGCGTATAGAAAGCACAAACCGAATTCTATGTCGCCTTTAATAAATTTAACTTCTGTATCAGTCGCCGTCTTCAGACTAGTGTTTGGCAAAGTTTGGCAGCCGTACAACGCAATAACGCGAAATGACATCATCTATATCCTCACTAGTGAGCATTTGGGAAGACACGCCACTTCAGTTCCGGATATAAATTAGTCTGAATTTTACTAGTGGTGAGAACAATTTTAACAAATAAGGAAGCCTCGACTGCGCTCTGCTCTGTCATAAAGCGCGCAGGAAGCGGTAGAGCACGAAAAAATGTAGGGGGAAACACGAGACGTAGTCTCGTGTTTCTCCCTACTTCTTGTATGCTCTACCGCTTCCTAAGTGCTTTCAACAGAACAGAGCACAGTCGAGGCTTCTTTATTTGTTTTGTGCTTTAGAAACCATTAATTCATTCAGCTAATATTTTCAAACCAAACTTTATTTTCCAAACGAGGAAAAGTGGTGTCAGCGTGTATCTGTTTTCTGATAAAGCGTGCTAAAATAAGCCAATCACAATCCTTGATAGAATTGTTCAAACAATTTGATTGGTTAGCGAGACAATAGCTGTCAATCACAAACGGGTTTCAGCTAAACTTTCGGTTTCGAGTAGCTTTCGGGAGAAGACCGATTGTTTCAAAGATCGCTTTTTAGATTGATTTAAAAGTAAGGATCTAAAAGTTTATAGTGCAGGGGAATCCAGCCACATTGTGACTCATGAAAACGTGCACTTGGCCAATGGAAATTACGAAACTTCTCTTCATAAACAGAGGCAGCTCATTTGGTGTTTTCTGTCGTTAATTGTTTACTTCTAAAGTATAATTCCTGTCTTCGTAACGAACATAATGTTTTTTTTCGAAGAATTCGCTAGATTGAAATTTGTTTGTTTCGCTACGTGATTATCGTTTTGTCGGAATTTAGCAAAACGTGTTAATTTAGTACAGTTTTAACAGTTCTGTTGTTCTGTTGTTAACGATGGCCTCCACGCAGCTATATTTACGTTGGAGCTTTTTCCGCACAATAACCTTACAAATGCAAATGACTCCATATGACATTAGACTGTAAATTACCCGCCCGTTCGATTATATGAGCATATTACAGACAGCGCATAAAGAAATGTCCAAACAGGAAAAATCTAGTATGGCACTTATGAATGAAGTGAAGAAGAAACTGCTGAGAAAGCCTGATGAACCATAAAACTATCAGATTCCTGATCAGAATGTATTGAATCAGAATCGTAGATTAAAGAGTGCGTTCGAGTATTGATAGGTTTGGTATGTTAAAAAAGCAAAAATTCTAGGAACAGCATTTTGTGCCTGAGCTGTTAGGTAGACATGAAATTGGCCTCCCTCCAGTGGGGGCGAAAACAAATGAATTGATCGCAAAGGACGTATATACGAGAGAGTTTGGTCTCGTTTATACATGCGTTTCGTAATATTAGTTACGACCGCTTCGTAGTCCAGAATGACTGTTCAGTAAAGACCAGCTAAAGAGCTAAAAGTGTTAAGTCGAAGTTAAATTGAATTTAAAACCATTTAACAAGGGTAAGAGAGTTTTTCCACCTCTCTTCACACTACATTCTATTCGCTTTAAAGTATATTAATTCGAGAAAAAGCGCCGACACTTCGAAACCAAACGATTTCATCTAACACAGTCAACACTTTCCTAGCGACCACTTCTCGCAAGCGACTACTTCCCATAGATGACCACTTTTTTGTGCAAAGGTAGCTAGTGGACGGGCAATTTTCTTAAGTCATGTGATCGAACCTTTAGACATGTTGTGTATTTGTTGTTGTTCGCTTAGCGTTGGCAGATATCAACCTTAGAGCTCGAACGGACAGACAGAGACTTAACAGACAGGGCATGACAAACACGAACAATTCTTTTAAAGCAACTTAAGAGTGAATGCCTATAAAAATCGACCTACATCGCCTATCAATGGCACAAGTCGAAAAATTGATTTCG